CCTCAACTTAGAGATATCTGAGTTTAAAAGGTACAAAGCCATTTATCTCGGGCACCGGTTGTCTGCAAATGGCCATGAGTCGGAGACAACCAAGGTTGAGGTCATACGAAAGTGACCTCAACCGACGAACGTGCGCGAATTGTGTTTTTTCCTTGGTTTGGCTTCGTATTACCGAAAATTTGTAACCAAATTTTATGGCATTGCTCACCCACTCTCGAGACTAACAAGCAAAAACGTTGCCTATGCGCGGTGTGGGAAACGAGACTGTGTTCCAAGAGCCTTGAAAGAGGCTTTGGTAAGTCATCTTGTGCTCTGCATTGCGGATCCCAACCTCACGTTAGTAGTCACTACGTACGCGAGCCAGTATGGGATTGGTGCAGTGCTGCAACAAAATGATGACGATGGTCTGTGTCCGCTTGAGTATTACAGCAAACGCATGCCCAGGCACAAGGTAGCTACCTCCACGTATATGTGAGAGCTCTATGCCTTGCGCGAACCGCTCACACATTGGAAGCACTACCTCTTGGGTCATCACTTAAAGATCTACTTAGATCATCAAACCTTGCAGTGGATTAAAACACAAACGAATCTCTCTCCAACGCTGACCCGCTGGTTGCATGACATTGATGTTTACAATTTTGAACTGAAACACACGAAAGGTTGTTATAACCGTTTTGTTGATGCTTTGTTGCGCCATCGTGAGTTTTTAACTTCCCATGTGGACTCATATGACCTCCGAAAAAAACTGAAGGAGGATCTGGTCGAACACATTGCCAAGGATCTGAACCTTAGTCTCATTCTTGATCAGGCTGACCCTAGCAGCCAGCCTGATTTTCACGCGTGTGAGGGTCTTTTATTCCGCCAGTATGGGAAGTTTGATCGTTTGTGTGTACCCAACTCATTGCCAATGCGTCTCTCCGGACTCATTTCTTGGATTTTGGCATATCGTCGGAGTCGACACTTCGACTTTGAAAAGACTTGTAGAAGTCTTTTGCAACAGTTGGATAGGGATCTGCAAAAAAAATTATTGTTGAATCTCAAGTTTGTCAGGCTAATCGATGCTGGCAGGATCGGGTCACACTCTTCTAACGAAGGTCTGGTGTGAATGAAATTTTGTCTATGTAAGGGAAGCTTGACCCGGTTTCCAGCAGGTGTTGCTCCCACCAATAGATGGAGCCCTCCCCGGGTGCTAGCGGTGTCTTCTCGTACCAGCACTGCTAGCACTGACTGGTGCATTTTCAAAAAAAAAAAAAAAAAAAAAAAAAAAACAAGGTCCATAGGCATACGCTTTATGGTCTGCTGAAACCCCTCCCAATCCCTAATGGGCCCGGTGAGTTCGTCTCTATCGATTTCAAGGACATGGGGAAGATGAGGGAGGGAGGACATTCACAAGTCGTGGTCATTGTGGATCGTTTTTCCAAAGTTCTGAATTTGATTCCTCTACCTCCTCATGCAGCAACTGAGCCTATGATCGAAGAATTTCACCAGCAGTACATTCTGCAGTATGGACCCCCGAAAACTCTTGTGAGTGACCAGGTTCATTAGTGCTGATTGGAAGGACTTCACTTCGCAGATCTATGACATTAAACTCAACAAAACTTCTGGTCGACACCCCAAAGCCAATGGATTGGCTGAGCAAATCAACCAGACTGTCATTCAATTACTGCTGGCGTTAATTTTTCCAAATCAGAACACGTGGGACAAGGAGTTACACAAAGTGAAGGGGTTATACAACAACTCCAGTCACTCTGCAACAGGCGTGACACCGAATCAGCTGCAATATGGCTGGCAGTTGCGCAATCCTCTCCTATTTGTTCCCCGAACTGTCCCCTGGTCTGACACCCGGCATGCCTGGCTACAATGCCAAGTATGCACACCTGCTCAAAGCTGCTATCGCAGCAATGAACAAGCGTCAGCATACCATAATCAAACATGCTAACAAGTTGCACAAAGAAAGAAACTTCGAAGTAGGAAGTTATGTTTGTGTCAAAATGTTTTTCTGACGAAGAGGGCGTATCACGAAAGCTTCTTCCATTGTACTATGGCCCTTGGCAGGTTCTGAAGGTAATTGGGGATGATTTTGGTCCTTCATATGTGATTGACGCGCCTCCTCATCTGCGCACATATCCGATCTTTCACGTGTCCAAACTGTTTCCACACATCGATGACGAAACTTTTCCCTTCCGAGATCCTATGATCCCTCGTCCTATTGACGGCGGCCATGACATAGACAAAATTGAAGGAAGAGGGAGGAACAGACAGTACAAGGTTCACTTCCTCTATCACCCATTGAACGAGTTTTTCTGGATCGACCGAAAAGAGCTGCTAAAGAATTCTCCACGTGTTGTTAACACTTATGAACGACAAATCGCTGATGGACAGACTGTTAAGTTTCCTGCAAAACGCACTCCTCACGGTCTTACTAAATCTCTCTTTCTGATATGTGCCTACGATGCATTTTATGCCGACTCTGAATGAGTTACTCGCTCGAAGGGACCTCGCTCTTGAGAGGGGGGTAGTGCAATGACCCGCCAAAACACAGACTGAGAACACTAATGATTTCTGGGATTTGCCACCGGAATGAATGCCTTGCTGAGATTCCCGCGTTCTGCTGTGGTTTCCAAGTTTGTGTGTGTGTGCGTGCCTGCTGAGTTGCGTGCTTGTCTAAGTGATTGTCGGTTGAGTGTGTGTGTGACCCGTAAGGGTACTTGTTGGTTGAAGGGCCCCGCAGGGCCGGTACTCACCTGTGGCCGTGACTTTGAGGGTTGCAGCAGGGAAAACACTCAAGTAGCAAGGGTAGGTCCGCAACATTTAGAGCAGCGGGAAAAACACTCAAGTAGCAGGTAGGCTGGTACCACTCAAGTAGTGGTAGAAGTGTCGGGTATTGGAGGCCGAGCAAAAGAAGACAAAAAGCTTGCATTTTTAAAGGCCCGGTAGCGGTAGGTTAGAGGGAGGCCGGTCCCAGTCCAAGTAGCCCGGGTCTAGGGCCTGTCCGGACGATAGCAGAGCCTGCAATGATGTTTCCCTCCGAAAGGGAGGAGGTACTGGTTGCTGGGAGGCCGCTCGGCCTAGGAAGTCACCGCCCAAGAGGTCAGTAGGCCGCTATATCTTCCGGAGGAGCAAGTAGCTCCTCCTCATTCGCGGTATGCAAGGATTGGCGACATGCTGCTGAGCCAAGCGCTGGACTTGTACAGCGCTGCCGGGAGATGAAGGGCAGCGGTCGCTCAGCCTGGCTATGGCGAGCAGCCCAGCCTGAGGAGGACGAAGAAGGGGGCGAAGGAGAAGAGTGGCGACGTACCTACCTGGCTATGGTGGACACCATCTTCATCACCTTGTTGGGCGCTGCATCTGGAAGGCCCCAATCGGGGTAGCGGCTTAGTCAGCAGCAGCATAGCTGCTTCGCATTGTCCTTTGGACAGGAGTGCAGCGCCATAGCTGCTTTGTGTTGTCCTTTGCACAGAGAGGGGCAGAGCCCTCAGTTTGCCCGCCATAGCCTAGGCTTGTGAGAAGTGGAAGAAGGGGGGGAAGCCATAGCTATGGTGGACCTGCTGTTGTTGTTGTTGTGTCATCACTAAGAGGGAACTTCGGATATTGATTCTGGTTCATCCACTCATTGTTATTATTATTATCGAAAGAAGAATAAGATTGGCGAAGTGAAGGAGGAGGAAGGTGGAGAGAGAAGGGGGATTTGTCATTGGTCTTCCTGGTGTACATCTTCTTCTTCTTCTTTTTCTTCTTCTTCTTTCTCTCTTCTTTGGTCTCTATCTCTTTGCAAGTGCTTTCATTTCTTTTGCAATTGGGTGGCATCGTCTTTCATTGTGAATTTGCACTTTGGGAGTGACCAGGATCGTAACAGGTTGGTCTTCGCTGCATCTGGACTGAAAATTGCCCCAGATATGAGTTATAATGACCAAATGGCAAAGCAGATAATCTGCTGGGGACCTTGCACACTGGAAAGTTGTGGAAACAGTAAATGGGACAGACTGCTCTTTGCAAAACCGCAACCAGAATCATTGGAGCATGAAACTGAAATTCACCATAGTTAACCATCTTCACCATGGCTAACCGCCATGGTCTGGACTGTGGAGCACTTAAAGCTTCATTGGGGGAACTTCCCGGGTCCGACCGGGGACCCCTCCACCGACCAGATAATCTGCAAGGCACAAGCTTTGCCTCAAGCAATGTTGGTCCCCGTTCCGACCCGGGACCCCTTCCCCAACCGGGAGCCTCCCGGTTGGACCGGCCAATGCACAAGGGAAGTCAAGAAAAATCACCATGGTTAAGGCCAAATCTTAGAAAGGCACAAAATTAACCACTGTTAACCACCATAGTATGGTTTATGCACTCCGGCGGAGTTTGGCAGCTAGATTGAGGAAAACCTTAGCAGAAATGTTACCAAAGGGGCACCCTCGGAAAAAGACTCGACGACCCGTGCTCTTGCACACAGGTGCTCATCGAAGAACCGGAGGAACATTGCCCTTCCGTATACAGCTGCGCTGACACAGAACTCGACGCCAAGTGCTCTTCCGCGCAGAGGTGCACCAGTAGAGAACTTGTGGACTGCTACTCTGTCGTACACAACTGTACAGTGACAGGCATGTATGAAAGTGCGCACCTAGGCAGCTGATATTATTTTCAGAAAACAGCATCATGATATCAAACAAAGCAAACTGGTATCGAATAATCAAACCCAAAAAAAAAAAAAAAAAAAAAAAAAAAAAAAAAAAAAAAAAAAAAAGTATTTCAGGACATCTGTAAAAATTGGAACAATACGCAGAAGGATTGCGCGGCCCCTGCGCAAATGTTTTTTTTTTTTTCTTTTTTTCGACAAACCAGCAAACCATAATAGCACCACCATCAATATCGCATTTCTCTTCCATACACAGGAGTGCCACACATCAAATTGTATCATCAGGCATACAAGGCTGCATCATATACATATAATATTTTATATATATATGTACGCTATCCCAACGCCCATACGCTTGGAAGCAGCCCACCAGATGGTTAGTTGTTTATTGTCTGGCAGAAAGACGAATGGATCCAAGGCACTGCGCGAACAAGTCATCATCAGAAAACAAATGAAGTGGTAATCACTGATCGGCACATCACTCTCAGCGCGTACTCGCACAAGGGCTTTCATAGATGTACCTGACTGCACATACAGCTGGGCGCAGACGTATCTGGCCGTGATTACGTCCCAAAGCGAGTTTACAAAAAGTCCTGGTATAAGTATGCCCTCTTCTTAATTAGATAGTAATAACAGGGAAATGTATTGTTCTTTTTCAGTTCTATCCACTTAAAACGACGCTCTTCCCGACGACGAACAAGAACCACAAGGCTGCTGCGATTGACGACTTATTGTCTTCAAGCCTACTTTTTCAGTAAAAGAACCTGGTCAAAAACTCAGGCACATACAGAAAAAAAACACTGACAACAACGCTGCTCCACCGGAGCCAGCCACCGAAAACTAAGACGCAGTTCAGGAGATTTTGCACTGATTTCGCTCTCCACACATGCATGCATGCAGACAGGCAGGCAGGGAGGGAGGCATGCATTTAAAAAAGTATCCATTAAATTCCATTTCATGCTCTGGGGGTACGAGGACCTAAAATGAACAGTAAAAGATTTGACCTGAAACCGACATCACTGCTATCTCAAATTAAAGAGTCCCCAATTGGAGCGGAAGCACGCGACGAGGAAGTTCAGGTTCGGTCTAGCAAAGGAAGGAAAAAAAGAGCAAGTTTTGAGTATTCCATTCGATACCAGGGGATAGCAGAGGACACGCGAGCAGTGAAAGGCGCTGGTGACGGGAGAGGGGGAAAAGCTGGGGGGAAGCGCAAGAGGACAAAGTATAGCTGCATATATAATATTCAAACTCCTGGCCCAGATTCCTGACCTTAACTAACATCCTCCATTTCTGTAACCACCTCTTACCCTCTGTCAAGTTCTGCTACACGTCCACCCTCATCTCTCTCCGTCATCTCCCTCTGCGCTCATCTCTGCCATCTCCCTCCGCCATCTTTCCTTCACGTCCCACACCGCTCCATAGCCACTTCTTCTCCCCATGCACCGCAGCTATACACTTGGCCCCAGGCACCCACCAAGACATTGGTGGGTCGAAAAACCTCTGTGAGCAATAGCAGGGGTTATCTCGCAACTGCAAAGCAGTTAAGGGGCAGGGGGGATGCATCATAACATGCATGTTCCACAAACGAATGGGAAGGTTGGGGCAGAGCTCAGTCTGCAGAACATGGAGGAGAAAGCCATGCTACGCTCACAGAGAAGTGTGCGCCCAAAGGTGCGATCTTTCGCATCTCCCACGCAAAGGGATGCTAGAGCGCAGGCTGCAATTCTCATAATAGTAATAGATTTGCGAGGAAATAAAATTGAATAGAGGGGGAGCAGCACAGAAACATGAGCAAAGGGAAGCACATAACCTTGCATACGGACTGCCGAGCCGGCGTGCAAAAATAAAGACGTCATCCCTCTCCGCTCAGGGTAAGCGGCCCCCCACTGCCTGTCCTGCCCTGTGTGTGGCTTAACCCTGCACACCCGCGCTTGGTCATTCAGCCTCTCACACGCGGTTGCTCATTCATCAGCCGCTCAGACTCTGCACAATGCAACCTAACCAAGTCAATAGTGACACAGCAGAGATCAAATCATTAATCACTTCAACTTCCGGTATCGTCTTAGCAGAGCATAGTGAGGAGCGATGGGAGTAATGCGGAGATAAAAGTCAGCTTACGGCTGCTTACCCCTAACGACTTGCCACGAATCGGACCCCTATACTTCAGTCCGAATCCTGTTGGTCAGTGCCAAAGGGGCATGCGCCCTGGCTGGAGACGATGATGGGAGTTTTTTGGTGCAGGATCTCTGCTTCGCCTTTTCTGAAAAGGAACGGACCAGTGAATGCACAGCGCAGAGAAGAAAGGTGATGACGTATCATAACGAAAATTCCCTGCAGTAATGATCTCAACAACCCAGACACATGAAGCATTCCACTGCTTCGTTGTTCTCTCCCCCTTGCCCAACAACCCTCTATATAGCCCCCTGTCCTGCATGATAGCCAATCCAATCTCGGCAACAGACATCGCACAGTGCCTTCGCCTCATGAGGTCATGCCAGAGAGTTAACAAGAGGTGAGGTGAAGCGAAGCGATCTAACTCCCATGAAAATAGCATATACCTACCTCAAGCAGATTTCTTTTCGCTTTTGCAAAAAAAAAACTGGCACCTTAATCGACGAGCCTGAGGTTGAGGGTTCGAGGCCCGTTGGCTCCTGAGGCTCCTGGACTGCTGCCACATTGCACACAAGTCCATGCCAGACGCGAGAAGAGGTGAGATGAAGCGATCTGAATCCCAAGAAAATAGTGTACCTCAGGCAGATTTCTTTTCAGTTTCGGCCCCAACAGCCCCCACCCCCTTAATTGACAGGCTCCTGAGGCTCCTGGACTACTGCTCCGACATTGCGCATGAGTCCATGCCGGACTCAAAAAGAGGTGAGGCGAAGCGAAGCGATCCGACTCCCAAGAAAATAGCGTACCTACCTCAGGCAGATTTCTTTTCACCTTGGCGCTCAACTGCCCCCCGCCCCCCTTAACTGACAGGCTCCTGAGGCTCCTGGACTACTGCTCCTACATTCCCACCAAGTAATTGCTTCAACCTGTCGATTGGTTCACACCGACGAAGGAGGATGACGACAATAACTTCACACAAGAACAGCAACGACTAATAAAGTAAGTGCGACCTACATTATTATACAACGCAACCAAGATTTGATGAGAAAAGCATGGTGCCAGTTGTTCAGGAGTCACGGGATGTAGCGAAAATGCTCCTTTTCACATCTTCTACCTGCAAGACAATGAAAGAATGTTTCTTCCTGGGCACTGCCTGCTATGCTGCAAAGGCCCTCAGCTCAGTCAAATCCATTTCACGCAAGTTCCACCACAGGTGAGGAGCGACTGCGTTTCAGTAAACTACTGAAGAGTCTGTGAAGACGACATTTTCCTCGACGGACGGTCGCACAGAGTGATATTCTCAGCTGCTGCACAGACCGCTCGCACCTAGCACCCTTTTGCTTCTCCCTCCTCTCTTTATCTTCCCTCTCTCTCCGCCGGCCAACCTCGTTCTTCCCCTGTCATTTTCCACCCCTGCGAATTTTCTGCTCTTCCCCATTCTTCACAAATCGCAAATGATTGTTCTTGGCCCCACAGCGTCTACGCTCTGCTTCTGGAAGGTTGCCCCGCTCCCCTCTCTCCGCAGCCGCAGACTTCACCCCCCACTCGATAAATGAGCTCAGCTTTTATTTCGGCACGACCAGTGGTGGTCCCATGCCAGCAAGAAATCCCATTGGGACTACTATCCGTTGGACAACAATCACAACTGCACCTCAAATCGTCACCCTCGGTATCGCCATCATCGTCATTGCGAGCTTCGCCGTCATCCTCACCATCACATCATCGCCCGCATGCTACACTGCCACCGTCGTAATTCTCCCGATGGCCGCAGCATCCTGAACACAGGCCTCGAAGATGAAGCTCTCGTCCCAGAGTCGCAAACCACATAGGAGAAGTCCTGCTGCACCGGCACGAAAGACATTGCTCGGCATGAAATGACGACGAAATTTAGATATGCACAACCGGTACAAGCAGTGATTTCCTTGGTTTAGTCGAGACAGCAGGCATATCTTCCGCCGCATGCAGCAGCAGCAACGTAGAAACATCGGACTACACAATCTCCATTCTCTCAGAAGCTCACACCATAATTAATTTCTGAACCGTCAAGACTACCATGCAACTAGAACTCGAGGAGCGCCTGGCGCCCATCTCCTTCACCAATGGGTGAAGGTCCGAACCGGAGAGAACTCAACCTTGGCGACCGCCGACAACTTCAGCAGAGCAAAGCTGCCGTTTCCCACAGGCTGAGCACACGTCTCGTGAGCACTTATAAGCTCTTATTATGCCGACAATTGGGGAATTCGGTCGGAAGCACCCC